TAGATGGCTTGTGGAAAGGTAGCGAGAACTGTTCGAGTTTCTCTAAGATAAAAAATGATTCGTTTGTTACCGCCAGCTAAACTATTAGAAATGATGAACTACATAAGTCTTGGCAGTGTGTTGTTTATTTTTAAAAGCCCTTTATCCGTTTCTATAACTTGTTCATCGGTCTTCCAGACATTTTTGTTTTGCTTGGACTTTCAAAATGAGAAATGGAATATCAGGTGGACAAAAACGGCAATTCGAGTTATCCCATTATTGCCGCGATTTTTTATTGAAGGAAAACGAGCTTTTTTGAGGCACTGCCAATGAAAACTAGAACACAGTATTCGTCTTTGCTTAGGGAATATTCCCATTTTCCTAGAAATTTGTAGCGAAAATCCGATCTGGCTCGTCCCGAGGATGTCGTTGAGCCGATTCAAAATTTTTATAAAATGCCACAAACACAGATGTTGGTGACTGAAGATGTTTAGAGCAAATTTCGGAAAATTCTTGAAGGGCCAAAACCAAACTTAGTAAACCATTTAGTAGTGCTACAAGTACGACACCTCATGCGGAATATATAAGGTCCGTCTGCAATCATTTAGCCTCGATTAGAAGCAATAAAATAGAATGTCAAAGTTGCTATTTTTGTTAACTTGAAATTCCATTTCTTAGCTTGGAAGCCCAAGCAAGATTAAAAGAATAAGGAGACTGATAGGTAAGATTTTGCATAGTATAAAAAGAAGGTTTTCAGAATGTAAACATCAATTGCCTCGAATTTCAAAACAGCGGGGAAAACGAGCAGAAAAAATCACGGGAACATAGGTTAGTCATTTTCTCTCTAAAAATTAGAAGAAGTTCATGGCCAGCTCTTATAGAGAAAAGTGAATTATCTGAAGTGAGAGGGTGATGTAATCTGAGGCGCCGTACTGTCCGGAATAAACCATGATTATACTGAACAAACCACTAGAGTTGGTTTCGGGATAGGAAAAAATAAGAGTCCGACAGGAGTTCTTCTTGCAAACTGGAAAGAATGTAGAGAGAGAAGATGACGAAAGTGTTTGAGATGGCGCCAAGCGCTTTTACCGTAAAGATGCCAAATGGCTCTAGATTCAAAATTTAATGAAACTTTCATACATTTATTATCATAACAAATATAAATACAAAACTTTAAAGTGTGTTAAAATCAATTTCCTTATTAAACAATACGCAGATTTCAATGAAGTTTACGTTTAGGGACATATCGATGCGCGAAAAGTATTAGAGCTCTTTCCTCAAAATTGGCGATGATAACTTAGAATCCTTTTCTTGACACTACCGTTCAAAAACATCCGGAAATCTGCATTAAAATGATTATACCAAATAGATAGTAGCCAGAATGTGTTTGTTGAGGAGTAGCGGTGAAGAACACAATAAGCACCAATCGCATCAGGCAATAATGATTTTTGTGAGTCAACAAAAGCGAAGTGGAAGGGAAAACTCACATCCCACTTGGCTTCATCAGCATCTTCCATCACTGTCTTCAACAGTTTGCGACGATGTAGACGTTTGGGAATATTACGTAAACGTGAATGTACGTCTATGCCGGAGTCCTATGTGATACAATATTGATTCATTCAGATTCAGCACCCAACGATGATGAGTCAATTGCGAATGGAGATCGGCGGGAATTTTGAATGAATCAGGCTGGGTGGAAAACAGGAAAAATAACCCATAAGCACAAATTCAATCTATAGCAAACCTTGCTATCAGCAGTACAGCCGGTGTCCACACGCAACCGAAACTGGTCGTCTGCCATCACTGAGTTCGCCTATAGATTATTTAATGAGGAAGTAGGCAAAGAAAA